ACCCACCTGGGCTGTGGGTTGTTAAGGCTGTTGTCAACACTGTGCCATCTTTGTTCGGTTGCTGAGCAATTTTTGTTTCCTACCCCCTCAAAGCTTTTTCTGAGGTGTTTCTACTGGGTAGGCAAACACCTGCATATAGCAGCCTTCACTGTCCTTGAGCCAGCGAGCATGAGGCATGGCAACCTCTCTGATTGCACCCATACCATCATTGCACCCATCATCCCTTGTGACCACCATTTGCTAACAAAGCTGAATTCCTAATTTCTGCACTGGGAGATGCCCTAAGCCGCCACCCCAGCCCATGGAACGAGCCTTAGTCAAGACACTTTGGGATCCATAGCAAATTTACCGCCAACTTGTGTTGCAGTCCTGGCAGTGACTGAGTTCCCTGAATGCTGAGTGTTTTAAGAGGTCTCCAATTCAAGTGGAAATGAATATGAAGAGATACGTGAATTCAGAGGGGTTTAATTTTGTTTTTCAGTATAGTGGCTAGAACTTATTTTGAAGGATTTTTATTAAGGGTTTTATTTGATACTGGATGTATCAGAGTTGCTGAGAACCATTTCAAGTAGCTGGTCAAACTGATGCAATAGAGAACAATTGTATTTTTTTAAGTTTGAATGTGTGAGGATTGGTTTTCTAAAAATACACTTTTTTTTAAGTGTAGTTACTGAGATACAGAAAGTTGTGCTTTTCTTAGTCTCTCATATAAATATTCTTGCAGCTCTCTCTTGCTCCTGAAAAAGAAAGAAACCTAGAAGACCTAATTCATGGCTGGGGGGGAAATTTGTGTTTCTTGGATGTTTGTTTTGCAGCTCCTTTTTAGAGCCCAGGCTTAGGAGGGAAATGGGAGGAGGGATGGAAAAGCACGTGGGGAGAAAACCAAGATGGTTGCAGGAAATGGACGTCCATTCCCCCACTTTTCTGAGAGCATTGAGCTTGGCTTTCCCACCTGAAGGTGGGGATGCATGTGCCATTTCCACTGCACACGCACGTGCTTTTAACAACCCTGCTCTTGCGCATACATGTGCCTTTTTCCAAAGACCACATCCATCTCTATGAAGTGCTCACCTGAAGTCTAGATTTCAGTAGGCAAGTGTGCCATGCTTCAGGGTTTCAATGCTTTGAGTATGAAACGTTCACCACAGCAAGTCCCGGTCCGGTGGAGGGGCTTATGGTGCTGTCATGGACAGTTTGGTGGCTTCAGATAAGCGAGCGTTTGGTAGCCTGTTGATGTCCTTCTGGATTTATTTTTAATGAACGACTCATTCCATTTTGGGTTTGCTTAACTACAAGAGATCCAAGTGGGCTGAAAATTTCTATAACAACAGGAAGTATCAAAAGGGGTGCCTTGTTTTTCACTGAGAAGGAGCAGGGAGACCATATTTGTCCTGCTCCTGGAAGACACTGTAGGGGAGCAATGGGAAGTTTTAATGTCACAGCTCCATCTTCTTTCTTCTTCCTTTTTTCTCTTTCTTTGGAACTTTTTTGAGGATGTAAAGTAACAAAGCATTAAATAAAACTGAAACCCAATTCTGAGCAGCCTGATTTACCGCCCTCTTAGTCATGTTTTAGGTTGGTCCACGTGAAAGTGTGGTAAGTAGACACCATCCAATCCACAGGGGGAAGTTTTAGCTGTTTTACAGATAAAAATATGCTTTATGGTTAAACTTACATTTGTATAAAGTGGCATGAAGAGACTTAGTGTAATCCAAGAGTGTCCTTTTACTCAATTTACATTCCTTTTAACTGACAAAACCTGCTGAGGGAAAAAAAAAAGCCTCATTAAGCCTTAGGCTCGTGCAGAAACATCTCCACCAGAGCTGGGGCCTTTGGTCTTCTCCTGTCTGCTCACACTCACTGTGTGATAAAGCCCTAAAATCAGCTTATGCAGATCTTCAAGGCTGCATGGGCACACACTGGGACGGGGAAGTCTGCTGATGGGCTCACATGATTTGAGGTGCACTGTTGTGGCTGGAAAGCCACAGAAGTCAAGAGAAGTTTGGCCTTGGAGTTCATCCTGTTGAAGACCATGACCCAGGGCAGCGTAGCATGATGCCGCCACTCATTCCCTAAAAGGTCAAGATAGAATCAGCCCGCGGCTGTGGCAGACGTGTTGAGGAAAGAGAGGTCGGGTTGTGGAGAGAAGAGCTGTTTTCAGACGTTGCCTATGAAACAAGACTTGTAAACGTGTTACAGATATTGGGATGATTCTGCTGCTTCTGCAGTAGCTCTTCTGTGAAAGCGAGCTCAAAATATTTTTCCGGTCAGGCCTAGGAAAACAAGGAGGGGGGGATTTAGCTGAGGGAGCTGAAAAGGCATTGGCTTTGCAGTCCCGATATGCAGCAGTTGCACCAGTTGAGCTGACACTGCCCGTTTCTGCTCATTTCGGGGTCTGTGATCTGGTTTCAGCATGATGCTTCACAGCGCCTCAGGGGTTAACTAACAGATTGCTTGAGATTTGACTTTTCCAGAGCTTCCTAATCAAGGAATGTAGAGAGAGATATTCCAGGGTTTCTTTCAGGCTTTCTTATGCAATTTCCAGCAAACAGATCTTCTACAGGCAGATCCCACCTAGGTTTTTTTCAGTGCGCTCCTAATCAGACATGAAGCTACAAGAAAGCCCCCTGCCAGGTGGAGTTAAGCTATCAAATTCCTCACCAAATGTTTTCTTTCTGCACAGTGACCAGCCTTAATTATGGTTTTGCTGTAACTGTGCTTTGCAGAGGTATTTTATACAAGGTATTTTCCATAAGCTGGGTTTATAACCATCATAAGAAAAATGGTGTGAGAAATTCGCAGACTTCCTATCTGTGTTGTTATTGATCTCAAATGTTCAATGCTACTTCTGTGATGTTTTGGAATGTACTGAGTAATATTATAGAGATGAACAATTAAGTAAAAAAACCCAACCACAACCTGCAGTAATAGTTTCCAGTAGGATGCTGTTGATGAGCATAATTGCTTGCTCAGGCAAAGGCCTTTCCTAATAGTCATCTGTAATATATTTAGTTACGTGACTATTCCTGAGCTTTACTGATACTTCACTCAGTCAAAGTTCTCCTTAATCCTACAAAACCTTTTCTGATCGGAAGCACCGCATGCTAAATACGTAACTTGATCTGCACCTCGGTCTGTTCACTCATTCGGTCGTTAGTGGATAAGATAATAAACATTTCCCAAGACTGACTCATCCAGTGTAGCTGCAGTAAGTGACCTAACAGCCCCTAAGTACCAGCGTTAGGGGAGAGAACCTGATATCTGAAGGCAAAAAAAAATGTAAAGTGCACGCTGCTCTCATTTCATGAGGTCTTCTTTCTTAGAAAGTTTCACGTTTTAAGTTTTAAATCACCATTTTGATTTCTGCCGTGAACTGTGGTAGTTCCCTGTGCGACTGATGTCCGTCCAGCACAGCCTTTCCATGCACTTCACATGCCCGGCTCCCTGACCGCTTGACTTCTGGCACCTCATTTCTTTCCAGTTAGTGTTCTCCTGGCAGTGCCTTTTGTGATAATTGCACACAAAATGATCCCCTTGCTGCCTCTGTCAGCGTTTTGGTTCGGATCTCACTTGCTGGTTTGGGTCTTAAAAAAAAATGAAACAACCCAGGAATCCTTGGGAGAGGCTAAAAGGTAAAACTGTTCCTGATGCCTGGGGGAAAATGCTTGTAGCAGTTCTAAAATGTGCTTAGTAAAAATTGATGGGTTTAATTTTTCCAATGTTTTTATCCTTCTGTATTAAATATTAATCCCATAAATGTAAAGGATGAAGTTGCTGCGGTTTGGGTAGATGCTAATTGTATGGAATAAACGTATTTTGAAACAAGAGAAATTTTAGTCTGGTAGAAAACAGATGAGACCTGGAGACGATGCCCTTTTGCTTTTTTAAGCACCACAGGGTCTGGGTTACGTATAGAAATTCAGTGGGTTACGTATAGAAATTCAGTGGATATACAGTGATTCTGGTTACCAAAGCTATTCCAATGTCTCATAAGGAAACCTCCCTCCATACTGGCTGCGCTTTCATCTTCAAATGTTTTCGATTTGTTTCTCTTATCATTGATGGTGCTTCACCTGGGATGACCTTTAGTACGCAGTTAAAGCTCCTGGCAATCTCAATTGTTCTTGTGCCAGGCTCACTATAGGAAATACTTTGTAACTATACACATACTATAAAACTATACTATACTATATTAGATAAAACTAATGGATTGGAGATCTCAGGAGGCCTTTTCACACTGGTGTTTATTGATGAGTTCCATATAATTTGAACTTTTTGTATGTGTATGTACACATATATACTTTATTTTTTTATGTGTATTCTTTATTTTCTGGGCCTTTAACAAGATGCCAAGATTACTATATCCCAATATCCATCTTGTCAGAGAGTAACTACTTTTTAAGATGTGACAGGACTTTTCAGAGCAAATCAGTGCTGCTTCTTAACTTGCTTCTAAGTTCACATTGACACTAGAGCCCATGTGTAAGAGAATATAAAACTCTCCTGAATTTCCAGACTGGAATGCCCGGTACAAGACTGTGTTTTGGATTCTTGTTTTCTCCTGTATAAAATCTGGCTTTTGTATGTGGTGAACTTTGCACAGTGGCTCCAACCGCTTTGCGGTTCCCAGTGTCTCCAGCGACTAGGTTGGAAAGAAAAGTGGAAGCCTCAGGTATAATTAAATTTCTTCAAGTTTTCCGAAAGTCTGCAGCTAAGGAGAGACCCAGACTGACACCTACATTGAAAAGAAAGGTGGGCAGAGCTCAGCCTTCCTGTGTCCTCTTTGGTAGGCACTACCTGGCCCGCCAGCACGTACTGCTCTCGCTCAGTAGGTGTGTAGCCAACCTCTGGGTCTACTGAGGTTGTTTAAGTGATACCAGGAAAAAAGGAGACACGGGACACACATCATCAGGAAACCAGAACTCACTATCCTCTGTCCGTTGTGTGCCTGAAAAACCATTGTCTTTCTCAACTATTGTTCTTGCAATTTTGTTTTGTAGGAATCGGAGTTTCTCTGTCTGGAGTTTGATGAGGCCAAGGTGAGCCAGATGCTGAAGAAACTCTCGGAAATAGAGGAGAGCATGACTTTGTTGACTCAGACCACTTAACGAAATAAAGAGATTGCAACTCAGAAAACGAATGACCCTCGGTACTTTTTCATAATTCCTGTTTCGGCACATAAAATAGGTAATGATTGTTAAATCCTGGTTGTAACTGCACAATGCATTCACAACCAAGTATGGGTAACTCACACTGTGATGCTTTCTCTGTCCCCTCCTCCAGGCCTGTTCTCCAAGGCTGCGACAGCATTGTTTGCATAAAGTTTTGCACGATCAGGCCTTTGAGTGTAGCGTAGCTTTTCTCTTTTTCCCCTCAATCAATTTTTGAGTCTTCCAGATGCTGTAAATACTGGGCTGGATGAACAGCAAAGGTAAATTGGCCAGTTGTGACAGGGGAGAAATGAGCAGAAGAAACAGGCGGACTAGGAGGGATTTAACGTTGATCCTTTCAAACCATGGGCTATGTAGGACACATCCACCTGCACAAACTCTGCCTGCTTAGAGCTTAAAGCCTGGGAGGGTACACGAAGTGCAGCAGGTTCAGGCAGCAGGGACACAAACGTACATTTCTGTAGTTGCGAGCCTCTGCACTGCTGAGGATTAAATAAACAGTTCCCAAGGGTGTGAGGTGGCCAACCCTGCTGGCCCATTGAGTCACACCTTCCCCACACCGCAGGCAGCCAGGGAACAATCTGGAGCGTCTCTTGGGCGGTGGGAGGTGCTGGTTTCCCAAAAGGAACAGCCTTCCATCGTGCGCTGAGTGCCTGATCCAGCAGCCTGCTGGTGAGCCTTCAAAGCCACTTCTGATCTGCTTCTCTGAAGACCACCCACCCTCACCAGCCTTCCAACTCTCAAGCTGTAGTGGTGCAGCCCTGGCATTGAGCTGCACAGTGTATTTGAGAGGACGGTGCTCTTTTGGGGCACAGTTTAACTTGGCTGCTCTTAGTCCAGTTTGTCATGATGTTTGTATTGACCTCAGAAAGGCCCCATGTTAAAGCCAGGGTTTCTAGGGTGTGCATGTTTAGTGTGGAATTTGGGTAAAAAGAAAACACCCTTGGCAACCGGGCAGGTTAAAGCCCTGTCGATAAAATAGTTGGGTGAAGAAAGCTTCCAGAGGCAGATAAGGTACGTACAGGGCACCCCGATCTGAACTGCCCAGCTTGTTGTGGCTCTTGGCTGTCACGGGCACAGTCAAAGAAGACTGAGCAGAAATGTTTTCAGTCTCGGATGTTTCTGTTCAGGGATGCAACCTTGTCACAGTAGGACGTATAACCATGCTTACCGGCTTCTCAGTGCGGGAGGACGGGGAGAGGCTGTTCTGAGCAGACTAACGCTTGTATGGAGCATGATGGTCCCTACTGGAGAACTACCTGGTAGTCCTTAAAATGGTGACGGACCAGCTGGAGATGACACCAGCTTGCTGTTTGGCTTCGTTACTTAACGGGAAGGCGTGCGCACACATTTGGTCGGAGGCTACATTGATTCTTTCCGTTTTATTTTAGCTTCCTAAGCAACCTCCTCCTGAGCTAAAATTGTATCGGGAGCTCGTACCAAGATAGAGATGACAACATAAAACATTCTTGTGCCATAACTAAAGTACTCCTCATTGCTTCTCCTTGTGAATTTATTGCTTGTGGAGTTGCCAGATTGTACTTGGAAGCAAGCTCTCTCTTCAGTGTAAGGGAAGGGCACCTTTTCCCATCTGCCTGGTCAGAAGGGAGAGCATCACTCAAGCCAATTTGTATCACTGCATTGGGAATTAACATTTGCTTTCCCGTGCCTGTCCTGCTGCCACCGCTTCTCTCACGGCCACACGGTTCTCCCCTCTGTCTTGTGGAGGGACTGCGCAGCCCCCAGCTCCTCGCGTTCCCCATCTGCCTCCAGCCGGTTACTGGACCGTAACCACCAACCGGTCCTCACGCCAGTCCCGGGGTAACCGGCTGCCAGCACAAGTGTGAAATGCTGAGTGGTTGCCGATTCTCTGAGCTTTCCATTTGCTTTTTCATCAAAGTTCATTAAAATGATTTTCTGCATTTCAGAGCATGTTAAAAAAAAAATCAAGGTCAGGGAAGGATCATGATCTTAAGTAACTTGCACTGTGTCAAACTTACTTATTGTTTTGTTTTAACATGGTCAGAGGATAGGAAAATATGCTATAAATGGAAATTAAAGAGAAACAAACTGGGAACAGATGTCAGGAAGTATTATTTCATGCGAAGAATAATAAATATGTGAAATGGCTAACCAGGCAAGGAGGCCGAGGCAAAAAATAGCAGGGTCGTTTAAGAAATAATTGGATACTTTCCTAGTAGAGGTGAGAAGTTAAGAAGGGGCACGTTTTTATGAGTGGCTGCTTCTCTCTCTTCCTAATCCTCCCTCCCCTGAATATCTAATGATCCTGATTGTCTTCGTAGTGGATCTTTGTAAACTACTGTGCAAAATGAGGAAAAAAAGGCTGTGTGTTTTGAGGAACCACACTCTGCCCAGCCCTTGGTGAGGGCACAGGAGTGTCACCGGGCAGCAAAATCGTTTCTGCTTCACCAGTTTTGACGTGGGCTGGGAAAGAGGATGCTGCGCTTCCCCAGACTGCTGTAATGCCCTCTGCTGCTGGGGCACAGAGAACAGATTGTCCCCCGTGAGTGGGACCAAGCCTTCCTACTGGGATGATTTATGTGTGTGTCCATCCATCTGTCCCTTGCTATGGAGTTTTCAACCTATTGGCCACTCTTGGTGGAGAAGAGGCCTCTGAATCTGCTGTGCTTTGCTTCCTGGAGTGAAGAACACAAGCACCTGTGGCTTTTTGTTGGGATTCATGGGTGTTACAAGCTGTCAATGGTCCCGCTAAATATCTCTGTGGTGTTGGCAAGTGCAAGCTGCTGCTTACACACTTCAGGAGAGATTTCAAATTCCTTCCCCCAAGCCCAGATGTAAACCAGTCTTGGCCTGAGTGCATGGCTGGGCATCTCCTGCTGCGGCTGGGGCCACGTGTGGATGCCAGCCTCCTGCGTGGGTCTGTCCGAGTGGACATCCCAGTGCAGCCTTGTTGGCCATAGGGTTCTCATCCTGTTTTGGAGACCACTGCTGCCGACCATGGCACCAGCTGCTGTGCCTGTGTGCTGAGCCATGCCAGCAGTATGATAGCAGGGCCATCACGTCCTCCTCTTCCTCCTTTCCTCAGAGGAGCAGCGACGTGGCAACGTGCCCTGAGCTACTGGTCAAGCCTGCCAGGCAGTTTGTAGATTTGCAGCCGGGAGATGAGCAGCTCAGCATAGCCAGAGGAGGAAAGTGAGGGAGACAGGGAAGCAGCAGGAGGAAGGGCTGAAGGAGGGCCCCTGCCTGGGTCCCACCTTGGAGAGGCTTCCCTGCCGGGTCCTCAAAAAGAAGGCAGGGAAGGAACTGGGCCACAACTCATGCCACACTCCGACATCCTTAACTTCAGAAAACTCATCTCCATACCTGCTCCCCTGCAGGTGTACCTGCCTACGATCTGCCCAATCTTCATCCTTCCAAGTTTACTAAAAACTAAAAACCACTTGCGAGTGAGAGTGCTATGTGCTGCTGGGTTGGGGCAGGCTTGGTTGCAATCCAAGCCTGGGTATTTATTCTAACCTGCATCACGCTGGCAGAGACAGAGCAGGGAGCGGCCGCCTAGATGCTGCTCAGGCAGGGGATGATACCCAGCAGCACCAGCCATTTCCTCTGGTCCCACTTTTGCTGGTGCTTTCCAGGGTGATCGCTCACCAAAGCCACGGTGGATTTGCCCTGCAGTGAGCGAGGGCTGCTGCTGCAGCTCTGGCACCGTGTACGTGATGACTCCAGATGTGCAACTCCAGATGTGCAGCCCATCCCAAGCTCTGCTGCTTCTTACCGAAGACTCCTAAGCAGCAGCCACACATTGCAACCTTCAGCTGGTCCTTCCTCAGGTGTCACCTTTTGCACCACTAAAACACGCTGCAACTTATTCATGCAATCACTTCTTGTTTTCTGGGAATTCCTCCAAGTTGCCACTCGTTTATGATCCGTGCTCCCTAAAATCACACATTACACAATTGGCAAGCCCTGCCCTCGCTCTCTGCTTGGCAAGATGATTCCTCTTAGCGCAAATTTCTTTTTTCTTGGTCCATGTATTCCCAGAACTGCTGATTTTTTTAAGAGTATTTTTCTAGGCATATCTGTATTTGAAAAAAAATCATAGTTTAGGCACACCATGTTTTTCCAAATCCAAGCCAAGCCAGCGCTGTGTTTCATGAAGCTCTGGGCCGTGGAAAGCAGCAGATGACGAGGCATACTTATTTTATATTGGTGTTGATTTACTTTCCCATTGTTCAAGTTACTTAGGCTCATTTTGTTTTACATTTCTTTTTTATTATTATTATTTTTATTTTTTATAGGTCCTTTTTGCAAGTGTAAATACCAGAATTAACATTTGTGCTTTTATTGTTTTTCATGGGAGGGTTTTTTTCTGGAGTCCCATCACCTCCAGATTTTATTGTGCTTTAACTTTTTGATAAACTGGTTGATACTTTGAGAGATTTTCTTTTCTGTACGTCAGTTCTTTGCTATCTGTTGATAAAATAAATCACCATTTTTCTTAGGAGATTGCCCGATTTAGATACTTACCACCCATTTGTAGATGTGCAAGGCTCTGAGAAGTTTTACCTGATGACTCACACCTGCCCCACGTTGCTCACAGAAATGTTTCCATCCCCTTCTGGGGAATTTTGACAGTTTTTTCATTTATTCCAAATATTTATAAAAAGGTGCTCAGTCGTTGCCAGGAACAGAGGGAGCCTTTTTAAGAATGTGGTACTGCACAGCAATGGCGGGGCAGGCGGAGCGCAGCGGTCCTTCGCAGCAGCCACTGACATCTTTTTAATGCATTACGTTTCGTGTGGCTTGTGACCAGAAAAGTAAGATGATGACTCCTCTTCTTGGAGCTGGGACTGTTAAAATCTGCCTCTTAAATCACTCCCAAATCCAAGGGAAGCAGGGCTTGGGGTGCTGTTTAATCCAACGTGGAGGCCAGGCCACGCTCCTGAGCCTTCCTTGCTGTGTTGGGAGGTGAAGGTG